TTTTTTGTTGAATTAAACACTTTTAAAAGTGTAATCAGTTATCTTTCTTGTACTTAATGGTATTTCACTTAGCAGATCATCCCAGAAATTCAAAATGATAAGTCCCAAGTGTGAGCTTTGACAGAAGGTAAAAACAAACAATGCATTATCCACAGCATTGTTCATTAAAATAACATTATTGACATATTTAAAATATATATATACATACAGAAGGTACACTTAACACAGTTGTGAAAAATAATTGCAGTTTATTAAGATAGTATGTTTGATATTTGAGTATTTATTTGTTTGTTTATTTTTACTTGTACTTAAGTACCATATCTGAGTACTTTTTCCACCACTGTCAGTGGAGCAGGTCATTTAGATAGATTACAAAAACTTTGTTCCCAGAACTGATCTTTGAGCTGCACTACAAGGATGTTCCAAAATGTAGATCCTTCCCCAAGTTATACTCTAACCCTGAGGAGGAAGTTTCTAGCTGAGAAATGTCTTTGATTTGTAAAGAATTACACACACCTGCTTGTCCCACCAACAGTTTCTTCATGGCATGACTTCAAATATGCTCTAAATTCTTAAAGAAGTTTACTGTTTCACTTTCTGTTGTGGTCATGATAAACACGTCAGGGACAGCAGGAGGGGGAATCAGTAAATAACATCTCCTCAGAGGTGGAGCTTTACCACCACACCCTGCTTCGAGCAGGTATATGAGGACCATGTTAGGAGCTCAGGAACAGCAGCCTTCATCCATCCATCCAGAAGAAGAAGAAGCATTCATCCATCCAGAGCAAGCAGCCTTCATTCATCCAGCAGCTGATCTCTATTTACAGACCTGTAAGTTTCCACCATTTTATGTCCTTCTTTCAGCTGTAGACCTGTCGTCTGCCTTTCCTTTTTCAGCAGGATATTCTTGTTAATGGTGTGTTGATCAACACTGAGATATTGATGTCTCCTCTGATACCACATCATTATGTTTGATTCTAACATCAAAATACTCATGCATTTAATATTCCCGTTATAGAAATATATTCACTATTTTATTAAATGTTACAGGATCCAAATTGTAAAATTAATTTTATGTCTCTACTGTTTTTAGCATTCAGATCTCTGTTTTATCCTGCAGTCGGATGTAGTTTCCTTTTCAGTGTTTCGGTGCTGTGTGTTACCTGGATGGGTCCGCCTTTAACAGTGTCCTTTTGCATCTCTGCTTCTGTCTCCTTGAATCCCAGTCTGCCTCAGCAGATGGCCACTCACACTGAGCCTGGTTCTGCTGGAGGTTTCTTCCTGTTAAAAAGGAGTTTTTCCTCTCCACTGTCACTACAAGCATGCTTAGTGTGACTGATTGCCTTCGAGTCCATGAGTCGATGGAATCAACTGGTTTTCCTTAAATAGAAAACTTTGAATAAATTTGTCTGTATGATCTGGTGATTTTTAAAATGCCTTGAGATGATGTGTTGGGAACTGGAGCTACATAAATAAATTGAATTTAATTTGTCTGTTTTCCTATGATGCAGAAACTAAAGATGGGCCAGTACATCACTACTATCGATGTTTCTACTAAGAAGAATGAGGAGTCTGAGCTCGACAAAAAGGGCTTCACCAAAATTCCTGTTAATCTGAATCCAGGAAATAAAGCAAACGGAACCTTCCTCTGGTACAATACCATTGAGAACCAGCCTAACACCCAACCAATCACCAGGATCCAGTTTTCCTTCACAGAGGGAATGGAAAAAGGTCTGAAAGCTCAAAAGTACCAGAAGGTTGACCAAGATCTTACCGATGGCACTGGTGAAAGGCCCATCTACCTGTGGTTCTTCAGAGGCACCACTAGGTATGATGCTCCAATCGTACAGCTTTTCATCTCCACTGATGCAGCAAGTGATGCTGAAATGGTTCAGCCTCTGTGGGAGAGGTCAGCCTGTAATCTGAACCGGGCTGGAGGAAAGTGGTTCCACCTGTGGATGAAGAGGTCAGCGCAAGCTTATGTCTGTGATGTCACCGCCACTAACAACAGTGCTGCAGACGCCGACTTGTTCCGTAAAGGTTACATCCGAATCGACGAAAACCTCAACAAAGGTGCAGGGGGGGAGGAAGTCTTCATCTGGTATCGACAGACCACTGATGATGATGATCTCATCAGAGATCTGCAGATTTCCACTAACCCTGATGAGGTGAAGAGCCTTCAGGGCCAATATTATCAGCAAGTTTCAACCAACCTGAGTAAGAGAGGAGCCAATGTGTTTCTTTGGTACAAAAAAGAGTGCGGGAAAAAACCCATCAACATGGTCACCCTGCTCGTCGACCAAGCAGCAGTTCCGCTGTTTAAGATCGCCAAGGCCACGGTTATCACCAAGGATCTCAAACCAGGAATTGCAGGCACCCAAGAATTCTTGTGTTTTAATTAGAGAGCATTCTTATTGTTTCTGAGTCTGCTCAGTGAGAATATTTACTGATGTTGTTGTGATCATATCTTCCATGAAACAATCTTTCTGTCTCTTAGACGTCCTCTTGTTTTCTGACTCTAATTTTCCTGTTTTAATAAAGACGAGCATCTGATCCTGTCTATTACCAATTCTTTCACGACAACATTTCAAAAACCAGACACCACAGGTAGAGCGAAGACAATCGGTAGAGTTATTAGACAGCATGGGATTAATTTCCACTGTTATGCTGATGATAGATACTCAGCTATATCTGTCTAGAAATCCAGATGAAGCTAACCCATTACATAGATTACAGGCATAAAAACCTGGATGACTCTTAACTTTCTCCTTCTGAATGATCAGGACCTATTATTTAAATCCCATATAAAAGAGGTTTCTAGAATTTCCTTCTTTCATCTGTGAAATATTGCAAAAATTAGAAATACCTTGTCCGAGGGGGATTGCTGAGAAGCTAGGCCATGCATTTGCTACTTCAGGGCTAGACTATTTTATAAGGCTGGACTATAATTATTTACTATTATCAAGTCCACCACCTGTAGTTAAATATGGAGGATAAAAAGTGCCAAAATTAAATAAATAACTAATGTGTCAATAATTAATGAAATGTGGAATTATATAAATATATGTGTCATTCATTAATTAAAAACACGTCACTAATATAAAGTGCCACAATTAAATAAATAAATGTGTCATTCATTAATTAAAAACACGTCACTAATATAAAGTGCCACAATTAAATAAATAAATACAGCGATAAACAATTAATTAAATGTGTAATTCATTAAATAAATAAGGAATTAAATATATAAATGTGTCATTAATTTAATAAAATACGTCTTCATTTTATCAAAAAAATATATATAATTATTTCAGTGTGCATTTAATTATTTCATGGTCCTGTGTCGCAGTGCATCCAAACCATTAAAAGAATCTGTCAAACTCACCCATTAAAGTTAGGGGGCGGGGTTAAGGCGAATCGAGTCTCTGTAATCGATTTGCTTCGCCTTAATGTGCAGGGCGACCAATCAGGTGTTAGATAACGGTCCCCTAACTTTGATGGGTGACTTTGACAGATTCTTTTAATGGTTTCAGCTGATCCAAAATGCTGAAAAGGGGTCCCTATGTCCTCCAGCAGTCTAAGCCTATAGCAGCATAACTATAGAGATAGCTCAGGATAACCTGAGGAAATCTAACCATAAGCTTTACAAAAAAAGGAAAGTTTCAAGCCTTGCTTTAAACGTAGACAGGGTTTCTTCCTCGCAGAATAAAACTGGTAGTTGTTTCCACAGGAGAGGAGCCTGATAACTAAAAGATCTGCCTCCCATTCTACTTTTAGAAATTCTAGGAACCACTAGTAATCCTGCAGATTGACAGCAAAGTGCTCTGTTAGGAATATAAGGAACAATCATATCTCTGATATAAGATGGAGCTTGGCCATTTAAGGCTTTATATGTGAGAATTAGGATTTTAAATTCTATTCTGGATTTAACAGGAAGCCAATGAAGAGAAGCCAGGATAGGAGAGATATGATCTCTCTTTTTAATTTTCATCAGAACTCTGGCTGCAGCATTTTGGATCAGCTGAAGGCTTTTAACAAATGTCCATGTAAATGCGCCTCTACAGCTCTAATCCCCATAGTAGTTGTTCCCACCATGTCTCACTGTGGAGGTCCCAGTTTTTTGGATGTTAGCCTAAAATAACTATTAACCACATTTTACAAGACAAACATCATCATTTGCTCTGTCTCCTTCATGGCCTGAGGCAAAAAACAATTTGCAAAAGCGAGACCAGTACCGTACACTTTAATACACAACAAAACTGGACACGGTTATGTTTATATAGAACATTAATTTATTGAGAGCAGATGGCCAGAAGATGCAGTTGCTGCAAGCACACATCTGTCCAATAAGTAAAATGCACTCTCACACTCACACGTACACACACAGATTTCACACGATCACCAGCAGAGCAACAATTGTTACGTATTTTGGCCCCTTTCTCAAGCATTCACACACAGTCACTGCAGATCCGATAAAAAGCTTCATCTTTTGTCAAGAAAGAAAAGATGGACCATAAATTCAGCCTTTCACCTCGACCCATGGTCGCATAAACATGTAACATAATGCTTTCAAGGTGAGGGATAGAAAAAAAGGCAAAACTTTTTCATGTGTGATGGTGCTTAAGTTTCAGACTAAGTGAAAGGAGACATTCCTAAGCAGTGGCTAAATGTCGGTTGTTGGCAAATAAGTTTACTTGTTTTAATGAATTAACTAACCCGATAAAATCATAACAAAAACTAAAGTGAGTTTAAAAAAAATACCACAGATGAACATTTTATTGATACAAAAACAAGTTTTCAGTTGGGAAAAAAAATTGCCTTTTCACTTCCATGCTAAGAGAAAGGGGGTTTACTGAGAGCTAAGCAGCTAACCCAAAGCTAACGGTGCTTTCATTTTGTCTTAATTTTTCTTCACTGTCGTGTATTTGTACAAATTACCATGTAGGACATTGTTTTTTATCAAAAGTAAAAGAAAACAACACAGGGTAGCTCCTTTCAATGTGTCTGGGGCAGTTTTGATTCCCACTATCAAGCGTCTGACCGCACGGCGCACAAGTTAAAGACTTTGGATGCGTTTGAATACTGGCTGAGAATTCGTAATGTTGTGGGGAATTAATCTTCTTCATCACAGACAAAGTGTCTGCGTTCCGTACTGAGATAATGTAAACAGTAGGTCATTTCTCAGACATTTGATTGGCCCTGCATTAATAAATAAACTTATATTAAGGATGTGAATTGTAAAGATTCGGGAGATACATTTCATGAAACATTTGTAACAGTATAACTCATCTTTATATATTCTGATACATAACGAAAGATGGTTATTGGGATTTTTAAAACAATATTAGTCTGGTAAAACTCACAATACCTTGTTGCTCTGCTGCGGCTGAATAATAGGCTTTTGGGTGGTGCGCTACCAACTAGCGCTGGAGGTTTAAGAGTTATATGAATGTAAGAAAATAGAACGGATATTTCCATATAATTATTATATTTAAGATCCATTCGACTGTATTTTAATCTAAACCGATACTGTTTTGATCAAATATTGCTATATTGTTTTTTTATTAATCAATACAAACATTGTCTAATGAAATATCCTGATATTTGACAGAAGTTTTTTTCTTACACCCCATCATATAAAATATTGATGCTGAAGCACTAATTATCTAAGCCAGAGTATCTTAGATACAAAGCACAAACATAAGAGTGGAACTAAAGTATACATTAGTGAGTTTGATGCTATTGCTCAAGTTGTTTTACTCTTAGCAGGAAAGTGTGCATTTTCCCAAGCAGCTTTTCAGATGTAGAGGAATCATGTTGCTTTTGTACCTTTTTGAAACATGCAGCCAACTTGGGTGAAGTGCAACAGGGTGTTTTTCCAATATGAATTTTAAACAAATGTAACTTTCCTAGCAAAGAGGGGAAAACAGATCGGTTTCCTGATATTTTAGATACCCATCCACTGTATTGAAGTTAGACCAAATCACAAAGCAAGGCACATGTTTGAAAGACCAAAAAGGAAATATAAATCATACAAAAAAAAAACAGTCAACAACAAGAACTGCTTGTATTATAAACTTCGCCACATCTGAACACATCTGCAGAAAAAAAAAAAAAAAAAAACAATAAAATGTTATAAAAGAACACTTCCTTAAAATATTCCAACATGGTATCCTACAATGATCGATTAGCTTGGACCACTGAAGCATGGAGAAGCAAACTGGTTCGGAATACTCAGGTTAAATCTGATTACTTTGAAAAATACTCTTCATGATGACACACACTTCATAAATACACTTCTTATTTTTATGTATTTTTTTGCAGATATCCATATATATATATTCTCTATGTGATCTGAATTTAAATATCACAACTATTCTCTGAATTATTACTTATTCATAGACAAAGAGTGCAGCTGCTATGATACCCATTTCCTTTAGGAGGTGCTGATGATGAAATGAAATACTGGAGTATTGCACCTAATTTATTTTGGTCAAATAGAACTTAGTTCTTGCCTGCAGGTCCAAACTACTTAAACACCTTTAGATCTCGGCCCTGTTTACACAAAAATCGCAGCTACATGTTGTAGCGACCGATAAAAAATGGGATTTGATGCAGTAGATTGTCATGGCAAAAAAAATGAGTGGCTTTTAGGTGTAGAATGAGAGAAGTATGAGTAAGGTGCTGAAATGTCATGGACTTTTTAATCATGTTAGAATTCACAAGAGTTAGCTGTGTGCTAAGGGTTTTAGCATTCAGGCTAGCGTTGCTGCTGCCTAATCAGTATTGCTGCAATTGCAGACGGTGTCTTGCAAAAGTATTAATCAACCTAAACAAACTAAGTTTGCAACTTATTCTAAATCATATTTAGTTCTGGACTTTGACTAGGCCATTCTGACACATGAATTAGCTTTGATCCAGTAGCTTCATGTTTAGGGTTGTTGTCCTGCTAAAAGGTCCAGTTGTTTTCTACCTCCTGATGGATTTTTTAGCAGGATTGTCCCTTATGTTGCTCCTGGGTGGTCTTAACATTTCTCGGCACATACATACTAATAATACCCATTTAAGTTTTGTGTTTTGTTGCATGGCAAAATGTAAAAGTTTAAGAGGTTGACTTTTTGCAAATCATGGCATGAATTCCTCACCTAATTCTTATTTAACACAATGAGTCAGGGTGGACCCATCCTGGCACATCCAGTGGCTTTGATTTTTTTTTTTTATTTGTTTGGAAAAAAAAAAGTTCTTCTTAAAGTTTTTTTATCAGATTCTATTTTTTAGCATGACTTTTTTTGTAAATTTTATTTTTTTCTTTTGATGAATTGTATTCAGCACCAATCCCCTTTAAAACATTTCAGCCTTTCCACTCCTGGGTTTTCTGTTGCACGAAACAGTAGAAAAGCTGTTGCTGATGTCCAATAGGAGCAAATTATTCCCTGCCGCCAAAGTCGGGAGAAATTACGTATTTGAAAAAATTTCTTTCTCAAAAATAGAATCTGAAAAAACCCCAGATACAATTGATAAAAAGAATAAATATCTAAAAATCTGAAAATCCAATTTGAAACATAAAATCAGAAAAAAAGCAAATAATTTAAAAAGAATTATGATAAAATAAAAAAAAACAACAACCCAAAATTAAAATTAAATAAAAGTTGAAAATATTGTTTAAACTTCGACATGCACCAATATTACTCTCAAAGGTTTTTTTTCCAGACATATTTTCTTCAAATGTTTTTTTTTAAACATGTTCTTTGCTTTTAATAATATTGGAACACATTTCTTTCCATATTTTTGTTAATTTGAAGTCTATTTTAATCATTAAAAGTGTTAAAAGCATTAAATTTACGTTAATTTTGGTGTTTTGAATTAAGTTTGTGGGGACGTGATGGACAGTGATGATGGAACCTGATTCTCCTGCTATACTGGGTCAGTCAGCAGGGGTTTTGCAGCCCTCTATGTTCTCATGCAGCTCCGACTGTGGTGCTTGTGCTGACCTTCACAAGGTGCTTTGGGGGAACTCAGACTCATCTAACCATACACACCCAGAAATATCTGACTCATTTGCCTTTCCTTAAATCGGATTTCATAAGTTCCATAACAACATCCTTAAACGTTTCCCTTAAGCTTCGCTAAACGACGAGCTGTAGCCCTATTTTTCTATGATTTTAGTTCATCTTATGAAGGTTCATGTGTATGTGTGTGTGTGTGCAAGCAGGCTGCATGGGTCATTGTGCTTCTGCGGTGTGCGTGTGGGCCTGTCCGCGTGCGTGCTTGGATACGGGGGGGCGATGCAGACCGTGTGACTCTGATCAGCCACCACTGGGAACTGAAATGTGCTCCTGAATTCCCACGGCGTTCTCGAGATGCACATCCACCTCGCCGTTCCACAAATGCTGCACTCTCTCACGCCCATCGGGAGGTGAATAGTCTTAATTTGGTCACATATTATAATTATTTTTTTTTTCACCAAGTCATTTACATCATCACAACACCAGAGGTCACCATTCCACACAGAACCAGGACATCAAATCAAAGAGCTAGAGATTTTATATTTATCAGCATATATCATATATTACTGTGCTAATGCAGGACTTTTTCAGTAGATATAAACTCTCCATGCTTAGAATGTACACATACCATACTATGATTCATTACACAGATGGTTTTTAAATCTGTATTAGGATTTATTCACTTATAGAGTCCATGTGGAGTTCTTAGAAGACTCACATTGTGATTGCAATCTTCTCAAAGATGAAACATTTCTTTGTGTTTGTTTTTTTCTCTCTCCAGTAAGTCAGGCCTTTTATTCTCTGTTTTTTATCCTGTCTTTTTATCCATTTTTTCAATCCTGTCACTTCTCTCTCCACAAGATCTCTGTCCAAGCGTGTTTTGTTGCTCCGTCACCTTTCATTGTTTGAGGGGCCTTTGCATCGCACAAAAAGAACATAAGAAAAAAAAAAAGACAAGAATTGAGTTTCTTCTGGAGCAGCGATGGACAATTAGACGGAGATGAGCGAGGCAGAGAGAGATGGATGAAAGAGAGAGTGAGCTGGAGGGGAGGGTTGCCTCTTGTGCCTTCTGATTCAGTCTCGATGCAGCGTCGTCATGGAGATTCACTTATCAGATTTCTGCTGTTACTCCAACATGGCGTCCAACTGGTCGGCCAAGTCGTCAAACATGCTGCCGATGTCATCGAGGATGCTCACTGTGGTCTTCTGCTCAGCCATGGAGCTAAAGACAAACACATGCAGAAGATTACCATCTACAGACCGATGGACTTCCTAGGACAAAGTCCAGATAGAAGATTGTACTGTTGTGCTTCTAATGATTTCAGTTTAAAGCAACAAAAACAGCTTCAGATTTTTGCATTAGTTTTAGGGATGATGACATGGTTTCAGATCATTTTTGCTGAATCTCTGTAGTTTTGTTAAATAACAGACAGCTGGAGATTTATGCCATTATAAATTGCAAGCTAATTGAGCTAAAGCTGAAGAATGTAGAAATTGTAGAAAAATGAGGGGAATTGATTTAGGAAATTTGTCTTTATGCAGATAATATTTATGCATTAGTAATGGTTAGGTTTAGGG